TACATAAATTTTAAGCAGTAAGTTTTCTTTATCAAACCTTTAGATCCGCTGCGCATAGGTTTATGTTGAATGTTTGTCTGTGATTTTTGCATATCGAGATCCTCGTGGGTTCCAACAGTCGTCTCCGCCACATCCGATCACCAATAGCACGCAGCAGCTCCACCGGCGATATTGTCTCCACCACAGGTCCACAGCCGGCCCTCAACAGCCCGGCGTAGCTCCGCCTTCTCCGCTCTCAGCCATATCCACCATCTCCGCGCTTAGTCGCGAGTCGAGAATGTCCACCGAGAATGGCCGACGGGACCTCTGCAAATCTACTACTGACGTAACACCGGCTCGGCGAAGCAATGACGTGGCATCCGGCGACAAGGCGGTTCACCGCCGCCGCCGACGGCTCGTACGGCTGGGGGAATGCTGCGAGGAGTGACCTGAAACTTTTTTTTTGTTGCAGTGAATGAGTTTTGGGATTTGGTTTATTGTGTGGAAAATTAGATATATTTGAGGGATTATTTTGCAATTTTAATTTAAGTTCATATATATTTTTATTTATGGTTGGTATTTTAAAATTTGAAGAAGATTAATTTATGCACAATAATGACAAATTAGATGCACAATACTGTGTATATGTGTGCACTTTTAAAAATAATGTTATATGTGTATATGAAATTATTAAAAAGTTGATAAATATCCTATTTTTGATAGGCGAATTGCATAATATCGTGTATATATATGTGTTTTAAAGTAAAAAATAATTAATCATAATGAAACATAAAATTATGAAATTACAATGTAGAATAATTGGATTAATTTGTGTGTTAACATAAAACTAAAATATTCGACATAAATTGTATTATATAATATAAAATTCATGAATAGTATTTAATACCTGTTTTATTTAATATTTTATATTATTTTTTGTTCAAAAAATTTGTATGTATGCGAATGAAATATCACGTGCAATCTAACCGTTATTAAGGTGCAATTTGTTCAACACTATGGTGCACCACGTTGATCTGTAATGTGCATAAGAAAATATAAAATTTTGACATAATCGGATTAATTCGTCGACATAAATAACCAAAATATCTGATATAAATCATATTATTTATTATAAAAACGTGATTAATATTTAATATGTTTTTATTTGATACTTTAAACTATTCTTTGATTAAAAAAATTACTATGTATGTAAATAAAATATTATGTGTGATCTAAAAGTTAGTATGGTGCAATGAGTTCAACATTGTGGTGCATGGTGTCGATTTGTATTGTGCATATTGAACCAAACCATTTTTTTTTTTTTAAAAAAAAAAATGAAAATTAGAACTGGATGTAATTAATTGGTTTTTTCGATTCGATTAGCCGAATTATCCTAAATAATCAAAATAATTTTATTTATTTATATTAATATTATATTTAATATGTTAATAATTTAATTTATTATTTTTATATATACTTTTTAGTTTGGTATATTTTGTTCGATACAGTGCAATCTGTCAATCATTAATGTGCATTTCATATAAAATTATTGTGCTGTCATATGACATTTGCATTTAATATGATTGAATACAATATATTGTGCATTTTTTTTCCAAGTAATATTCATTTATTAAACTTCCAATTAATTACAACTTTGCCACATGTGTCAAATTAAAATATAACAAAAATATATTAAATTGCAATCAAGTCCTTTAACCATATCTAATTCTAAAAAAGCCCTAATAGCTAAATGTCACATTCTACACTTCTAACAGTCTTCTCCGGCAGCCACTCCGGCCGGCGACTTCCGGCGTCGATGCATACTCCGGTTGGGACACGTCCGGTAAGTTTC